CATTTGAACCTAATCTTGTGGGAAGTGTACAAAATGTATTTGCCTAATTAACCTGAAGTATTTGTATATTGGTTAAAAAATCATTTGCCTATTTTTCATTTTTTACTTTCAGCTTTAGGGACCCTGCTGGTGCTGAGTGAACAAGCCAGGACCATTAGCTATTTCGAACACTTCATCTCAGCACCATTTCTCTGGCGACTTGTAGCAGGCAGGACTATACAAAAGAAAATCCTTTTTACTACCCCCATTCATATCAATCAAAGACCAAGGAAAGGATCCTAATATCTTTTTAAAATGTTTCCATTTATCTTGGAGTTTACTTGTCATAAAAACTGTATGTTTAAAGTGTCCGTTGGGTGTAAATGGTCCCATAAAGTCTTGTAACTGAGTGACACGTGATAATGAAAGTAGCTTCACAAAGAACAACAAAATAGATCTCTTTTTTTATTGTAATCATCAAATAGTGTGCCCCAAGGTATCGATTGAATTATACATAAACCTGATATGAAGCTATAAAAAGAATGATAGCATGCTGCTTCAAAACAAACCACAAACAGATTAGCCTTTGCGAAATAACCTTAATTCCAACAACATTCACAACCTTTGCTGGATGAACCACAAAACAAAAATATTTCTGGAAGAAGGTATTTCCTGTATATATGTACGCTAAAAGTACACTATGAGAAATTTTATCAGCCAAAAGGTAGAAATGTGTATTCAAACAAGAAAGAGACATTTATTTAGGAGGCAAGACTAAATACATAGGATAATATCTGGTATCTAATAGTCCAGGTGAAATCTAGAGTTTCACTTTTTGTAGTTTCTGAAGTCAACCAGAGTATAAAAACATTATATGGAAAATTTCAGAAATAACAAAAACATACATTTTAAATTGGGTGCCATTCTGAATACCGTGATGAAATTTCCCATTCTGCCCAGCACATGAATCATCCCTTTGTTCAACATACAGGCTGTAGACGATCACTGCCCATTAGTCACCGAGGAACCGCCTGGGTTATCAGATCAGACATACTGTAGTTTCTATGTTCAGGTAACCCTTATTTGATGTAACAATGGCCCCAAGTCACAGTGGTAGTGATGCTGTAATATTGTTATAATTATTAGTTATTGGCGTTAATCTCTTATTGCATGTAATTTATAAATTACATTTTATTATAGGCGTGTAGGTATAATATATACAGAATTCAATACAACCTGTGGTTTCAGGCATCCACTTGGAGTCTTGGAGTGAACCCCTTTTGAGTAAGGGGAAACTACTATCTCTTGATTAGTCACTGTGATGAAGTTGTTAGTTTTCAGAGAAGCTCAAGGTCTGAAAAAGCCCACGGAAGACTTTGTAGAGAAAGGTGGTTTGACCCGGGTGTCTAGTTTTGCATACTTTCTACCTGAAATGTTGAACTGTTTTATATGAATAATTTATTTATTTTCTTTGAATTTTCCATTTTAAGTTGAGTGGGTATGGTGGACTGGGTAAGATACTGGAATTTGGAATTCTTTCTTTTTATTCTTTTTATTTTTTTTACTGGTTCATTTTCCTCCAGATAAGCTGACTGTTTAAACATTATCTTCACAGAACATTCTGGAATAGAAAACATACTATTACTCACATTTTTCTTCAGTTTAAATTTCGTTCTTGTGATGCGCCCCATGCTTTTTTGTCTTCAGGCCTCTGCTCATGCATTTTATTCCTGCTGGAATTCACTTTTCCTCACTTCCGTGTGTGCAAATCTTATCCTCTGTTCTCTTCAGTGGGAAGGGTAACCTTAAGCCTCCCCTTAAGATTCTCTTTTCCTTCCCACTGAAAAAACGGAATACTTTCACCTTTCTTAATGTCTTCGAATACTTTTAGCTGTCTCTCTTACTGCCCTTACCAGTTTTTCTTTGGTATGGTGAGTATGAATTAAATATGCTTCCTATTCCTTCTGGCCAATGAACCCCTCAAGGACAGAACTTGAACATGCTCTTTGATGAATAAATTTTTGGTGCCAAACTTGTGAAATTATTAATAAGCATTGCAGATTCAGATTCAAAACTGTAACAGGCATATCAACACATATCTTTTCAATGAATTTTTCTACAGAACATTTAAAAAATTGCTATCCTATCTCATATTTCCACAATCTGTTCTGTAGTTTTAAAGGTACCTTAGGGTTTCTCTTTGAAGGCAGATCCACACGTATATGGTTATTTTTTATAGAGGCGCCAAAGAAATTCAATGGGGAAAGGATAATTTGCTCAAAAAATGGTACTGAAACAACTTGATCGTATCTGTAAAAGAAAAAAAAAAAGAACCTCAACCCTTGTCTCATACCATATAGAAAAATTAGCTTGAAATAGATCTTATTTTTTAATGTGAGCTAAAGGTATAAAAGATTAAAAGGAAAATGCAGGAAAACATCTTAGTGACTTATGGTTTAATAAATCTTAAATACCATACAAAGGCATAATCTAAACAAAAATCATTGATGTATTGGACTTCATCAAAATTAGAAACATTGGCATTCAAAATATGCTGTTCTAAAAAGGAAAATACAAAGGCCCACCTGGGGAAAAACATAGGAAAATACACCTAACAAAGAACTTGTATCTGGAATATAGAAAGTGCTCATACAATGAAATAAGAGGAAGACAAAACACCCAATTAAAGGAAAAGGGCAAATAATTTTAGATACACTTCACCAGAGAAGATGTTCAAATGGCAAATAATCATAATATTATTAGTCACTAGGAAAATACAAATTAAAAGCCATAGTGAGATACCACTGTACTCTGTTGTAATAATTAAACTGACAGTATCAAGTGTTAACAAGAATGTGGAACAACTGAAACTGTCTTGTATTGCTGGTGGAAACATAAAAATGTGTAACTATCTTGAAAAACAGTGTGACAGTTGTTTTAAAAAGTTAAAAATAGGCCAGGTGTGGTGGCTCATGCCTGTAATCCCAGTACTTTCGTCGGAAGTTCCAGACCAGCCTGAACAGCATGGAGAAACCCCACCTCTACTAAAAATACAAAATTAGCGGGGTATGGTGGCACATGCCTATAATCCCAGCTACTCAGGAGGCTAAGGCAGGAGAATTACTTGAACCCAGGAGACAGAGGTTGTAGTGAGCCGAGATCATGCCATTGCACTCCAGTCTGAGCAATAAGAGCAAAACTTTGCCTCAAAAAAAAAAAAGTTAAAAATATACCTCTCATAAGACTGATTATTATTCTCTTAGGTAGTTAACTGAAAAAAAAGGGAACATAGATTCATACAAAGATACAATAATACAATACATATTCAAAAATACAATACACATTAATTTTTTTAAAGTACACAATTTCATGTTAAACTGGACATATTTTTATATGGCTTTGTTTTCAGTAACCCTAAATTGGAAACAACCTAAATAGTCCATCAACAGGTGACTGTATAAACATACTGTGGTATAGTCATACAATGGAAATATTCTTTGGTAATAAAAATGAGTAGACTATTGATACATTCAACAACATTGGTAATTCTTATGCTGCATGGAAGATGTTAGACAAATGACTACATATTGTGTGGCTCCATTTATACGAGGTTCTAGAAAATGAGCACTAATAATGGGAAAAAAAATAGATCAGCGATTATCTGCAGATGGGAGGAAAAACAGGAGAAAAGAATTCCAAATGATTACAAGGAAATTTTGGAGGTGAGGATTTTGGGGTACTCATTTTTTGATTGTAATGATGGTTTGAATGTAGGGATGAATATATGTTAAAATTAAATTGTACACTTTAGACATATTCTTTTTTTTGGGGGGTGTCAATTTTACTTCACTAAAGATGTTAAAAAAAATTGCTCCCAAACTGATATTTTTGCAATTTGCTTTGGAGAGTCAAAGTTATCTTTTGGTTTCTCTTTGGAAGGCAGATATGATGTAAAGCAAATCGACTGCTGAGTTACGGAGATAAGAACTTGTACCATTGGTGTGCACTTCCCAGATAAATTCAAAACTTAGTTCCTTCCTTCTCCAATTCTAAGGAAGTCTCCAGAGAAGGCACTGTGTAAGCTCAAGTGTTCAGAGGTCTGTTTTAATTTATATTGAGCTTTGAAGCTTAGTTCCTTCTCTTTTGGAAAACAAGCATTATAATAACTACCACATATGATTGATGGGAAGATTACACAATGCAGGCAAAGCAGACAGCACAATGATACCTGTACGAGTCCTTCCCTTTATTTTTCCTTTGCTTTTCTCTCTTCTCCACAAAGCCAAGCACAGGTTGTCTGTGTAACAAGTGTTCAATAAATCTTTCTTAAATTATTCATTTACTTATTTCAATTCAGCTAGTTAAGGGGCTCTAAAAGAATAGAGAATTTTCCAATCTAATTGTTTAGGTCCTGGAATAAAAAACAAAAATTTTGAGTACAAGTGCAATCAGCACTTGGGACAAATTCGACACCTGACATAATTGTATATTCACTAAGGTAGTTATAGAAATGTGAACCCCTGTTTTACACAAAGCAGCTAGTCAAAAATTAATTTTTGTATTGGAAAAGCTTAATAATTTTGAAAGTCCAGTTACTTTGTCAAAATTATGCAATACATATTTCTTTAATTTAGAAAACAGGCTGGGCACAGTAGCTCATGCCTGTAATCCTAACACTTTGGGAAGCCAAGGAGGGTGGATCACCAGAGGTCAGGAGTTCAAGACCAGCCTGGCCAACATGGCTAACCCTGTCTCTGCTAAAAATACAAAAAAACTTAGCTGGGCAAAAAATTAGCTGTGGTGGGTGCCTGTAATCTCAGTTACTCGGGAGGCAGGGGAATTGATTGAATCAGGGAGTTGGAGGTTGCAGTGAGCCAAGATTCTGCCACTGCACTCTAGCCTGGATGACAGAGTAAGACTAAGTCTCAAAAATAAATAAATAAAATAAGTAGAAAACAGAAAAAGATTTGACTAATCAAGCAGATATTCAGGAATGCAAGCAACAAATACTTGCTTTAGACTGTATATGGAATATGCCACACTGATGGCATTTCTTTCAAGCAGTTGCTTATTGCCACCTCAGTCTGATATGAAACTCAGGAAGGTACTGGGAAAGAAGGACAAGTATTCTATTTTTAAATACCTTTAATAAGGCCATAGAAAGTTTCCTGTTCACCTCGGGCGTTCTGAAACTGGTTGACATGTAAAGGCAGCTTGTTTTCCAGGATTGATCAGACCAGATGGAAAGTTCTTTATATCCTATTAAGTAGCCAAGAAGGAGTTGCAGAAAGCTGCAATCTGGGAAGACAATTGCTAAAAAGCTGCATTTCAGCTGGAGAAACGTAAAACAGCTTAATGTCTTCTAGCTAATGTGCAGTGACCTCTTAAAAAGTTACTGTCATATAGAAAAGCAACAGACCAACAGAATCCTTTACAAATTCAATCTTGGTTAGTTGGTATTTGTGGTGTTCAAATAGTGCTTGGGCTGAAGTTTGCATTTGTTTAGAAAATTCTTTTGTCAAAGATTGTTAATCAGATTGTGCTGTGATTATAATGAAGATACTTTAACTGTTCAAGCATATTAACCTCTTGAAGAATCTACATGTAGTTTAAAATTTCTCACTGTTAAAGACTCTTAGGCTTATTACAAACTATGCAATACGATTTTATCTCATTAAATGTACGTTTGTGAGATTCAAATCACTTTTAAAAGGAAGCAGGTAATTCATGAATAAATCAATAAGAAATAGGACCTTTTAGCTGACATTGTCAATTCCCTACCCACATCCCTGAAGCAATGATGCTTCATGCATGACTTCCAAACTTCAGTGTACCTGCACCTGCAGCTCTGCCTGAGTGTTACCTGGCTCTTGAAGCCACTGAGCAAGCCAACATTGCCCATACATTCTCCAGTTCCCTTTGGGTGGATAGTAAATACCCACATTCCCATCCTCCTGAAGTGGGATAGCTTTGAGGCCCATGTTCTAAACTATTTTCTAGTTCCCAAGATAAATTAAGCTCCAGTTGTCTACAGTGGCACCTTGCTTGAGGACACACCCTTTATTAGCCCTTTTCGTTCTTTCTTCACCTCCCTACTCTTCTACCAGTTTTCTAGAATTGCCTTCTAAATACATTTTTACACTTTAATCTTCATATCAGGATTCTCTTCGGTTGGAATTTAAACTAAGAACTCTGCATACTGGAGCTTACACAGTGCCTTCTCTGGAGCATTCTTGTAGAATTCACATGCTCCTAGGAAGGGGAATTACTCTCTAAAAACTTTGTGTGACTCCATTCTCAAGGAGTAACATGATGCTGATGAAGCCATGGCCAGGAGGTCAATTTCTACTTGGATAGGTGAATTTCGTGGCCAGAGAGAAACAGTGGTCCTGGAATACCAGGTAGGAATCAGAATTCAAGCTTGTCATGCCATCCAGTGCAAATAACCTCTACTTTCATCTTCTTGTAAAACTTGAATTGTCAAAGGACGCTTTAATTTCCAATGACACCATGGGATATTTTCCTGCTTCACCCCCAACTCTAATTATAAGCTAGAACTCTTGTGTGCAGATGTATTAGTCTGTTCAGGCTGCCATAATAAAATACCACAGGATGGGTGCTTAAACAACAAATTTATTTTCTCACAGTTCTGGAACCTAGAAGTCCAACATCAAGGTGTGTTCTGGGTTGTTTCTGGTTAGGGATCTGTTGCTGGCTTGCAGATGACCAGTTTCTGGCTGCTCCCTTACATGGCCTTTCACCTGTGCTTGTGAGAGAGTGGGCTAGCAGGTGCTGATGTTTCTTCCTCTTCTTAGAGAGACATCAGTTCTATTGAATTAGAACCCTTGTGATTTCACTTAACCTTTGTTACTTCCTCATAGGCTCCAACCCAAATACAGTCACACTGGGGGTTAGGGCTTTAACATATGAATTTTAGGGGAGGACATAGTTCAGTCCATAACAGTGGGAATTAACAGCTTAAGGGTTATAGTTCTTAAAAACTTCTTTCTTCCTTTACCATCCCTAGAGTACTAGGGTCACACAAAAATGCCATGTGCTCTGCAATCTAGACACTAAAGGAAGAAAGGTTTGTTTAGTGAATATCTACTCTGTGACAGGCTATTTGGTATAATATTTTAATTCTCACACCAACCAGGTCCTATGCAACAGATACTTTCTTATTTTCTAAACCAGAAAATTTAGGCACAGAAAAAGTTAGGTGCATGAGCTAGGGTTCAAACACAAAGCTTTTGTATTTTCTGTTTCATTACTGTGATTTTTCTCAATGCGGAATAGTTTTGATAATTAATTATGGTGTTAACTCTGTTCTCTTCCCTGATATTCAGCTTTTTTCAGTTGTTAAAATGTAATGGTAAATCTTTAAGACAGAAATATATAGTTAAAAGGTTATAGGATATTAAAGGTCATTTTCCATTGGAGATTAATTGCACATAAATGAACGAGAGCATTTTGAAATGTATCATATAATGTATCACATAAATCAATGAAAAATAGCTTTTATTTAACAAATGTTAACTTATAAGAATAATTTTTCAGAAAGAAAATTTATGAAGGTAGTAAGGACTATTAAACATGATAGACTTACATTTTATTCCACTTATGGAAATCGAGGATAGCTGGTGTCCTACCATTTCATTCACTTATCTATCTTGTAAGTATACAAGGTATTCATTTTTTTATACAAAATTTTATGCTGGACCCTGTGCTGGCTGTACACACAAAAGAATGTACTTGAGGTACTTTTTACTCTAGTGAAGCCAATAAAGATACGTAAAAAACTATTTGGAAAGAAAGTGCAAGATATAAGAACCAAGTAATCCAGATTAAAAACCACAACAACTCGGCTTCTCTGTCTTGTTATGTCAAGTTTACCAAACTCCTGCCCCAAACGTCATGCAATTAAGAGAGCTTGGTATAACCTAAAATAAATGTGACTATAATACATATCTTTTTCAGAAGAGGGATATAACTAAAAATACCCATGTCACTGAATTCTTGATATTGAGGCTTGAAGCCTTCTTCAAAAGGTTATATGAGCCTATTTCTTACTCTTTGCAGGAAATTTTTCTATTATTGTAGGTACTTCAGCTTCTTTGTGAAGCCCTTTAATGATAGATTTTTAAAAAATACACTGTTGATGCTCACCTGGAGACCATGAGGAAGTATTAATACAAGTAAAATTGACCTTCCAACTGGAAGTCTCATGTATTGATTGTAGAGGTTTTTTTTGTTTCTTTTTTTTTTTTTCCATCTCAGCAATGTGCTATTTCATTTTTTTTTTTTTTTTAATACGCCCTCATGCTCACATGGCTAAGATCCTTGTCATACTCTTTAATTTACTCCTTAATTTCCTCAGGATATTCTCAGGCCCATTGCTTTTTTCCCCATTACCCTTCACAAAAAATTTCCTTTAGGGTAATTAAGTTTTACATTGGTGGCTGATGTCTTGAATTTTCAGCATTCTGCTAACCATTCATATACGAACACAAACATCCATACACACTGACACACACAAACCATCCTACATTGACCCATTTTATAGTTTGCAGTTCAAACTAGGCAGTAATCAATAACGACTTTTCCTATAAGCTCATTGCCGCAAAAGATAGTATTCTTTCTTAGAAGTTGTTGTGATCTACCATTCCAGTTGTTGATTTATGTATGGTTCTGTATGCCCAAAGGATTAATCTGAGTCTACTTCAGGATGGCAGCCCTATGGTTATTATTATTTTTTTCTTCTGCATTTCAAACCATCACCGATTTCTTCAATTGCTTTTTCTACGGCATGGTTTCCCAATTCTTTACCATTGTGTCTGCATTCTGATTTTATTGTTTATTGATATATCTTCTCAAAAATGGCTTCTACATACAACCCTGACCCTAACACTGTGGTCCCTCAGTATGGTTGTGATATTGTTACCTGTTTTCAAAATATAACGCTTCTACTAATATAGGCTAAGATTATAGAAACTGCAAAAAGGCAACATCACATAATTGGTTGATATTGGACTTTCAGCCAACCTGAAATTTTCACTTGAACTCTGGCTAAACTAGATATTGGTCATTATTGGTTTTATTGTCTTTGATGAATTCCCTAACCATTCCTTAGCCTCAGTTTCCTGAATATATCTATCTTACTAATTGTTACAAAAGAAGAGGGAAAAATGTATGTGAATTGTCAACTCTTGCCTGAAACTTAGTGTTTATTAATTAAATAATAGTTGTTTTATTTATTCTAGCTATTGATTTCCAAATAACATTGGCACATAATTCAAGGATCAAAATCTCCCCATCACATGAATTTTAAATTAAATTTTCAATACCTGGATGTATCAAATTCTATTTTTAACACATAATTTATAAGCAATTTTATATGCATTGACTCACTTGGGCAGTATAAAATCTGAGATTTAAGTGACAGGTATTACATATCCATTTCATAAAGGAGAAGATAAAGGTTCAGAAAGTTTAAGTGACTTTTCCATTATTCTACAGTTTCTAAGTATTTAAGCAAAATATCTTTGATTTTGTTATATTTTTAGTGTGACAAAATAAGTATATTTTGTTGTTTATAGAATATGCAATAATGTCCAAGAGGTAATTGTCTAGTTAAATGTATTTTTATTGCCCAGAGTTAAATGTATTTTTTGAATACGTAAATTATCCCAATTTATAAGCCTAAGAGAATAGCTGACTTCATTTTAGCATATTGTTTTCTTTCCATTTTGATTGGTATACAATCATATTGTATGTAATTGTAATAGGAATTGTACATTTCTGAATCTAAATTTTTTAGTTAATAATGTTATAAACACTTTTCCTTGTAGTTACATAGAGTTCATTGCTATTATTTTTAAAAACCTACATAATATTTTACTTTAATAGTTCACTTAATTTTTTAAAGAAAATATAGTTTAGATAATGCTGCAATGATTATTTTAAAAAATATTTTTCTTAATATAACTTTCCTGGAATTACTAGTAAAAAAGTAGGAATATTAATCAAATTGATATACATCAAGTTACATGTATTTATATTGCATTTCAATGTCTTTATGTGCCAACAATGTAGACATGGCATAA